TAATAATAATAATAATAATAATAATAATAATAATAATAATAATAATAATAATAATAATAATACTATTACTACTACTACTACTACTACTACTACTAATAATAATAATAATAATAATAAGGTTTTTGTTTGTAGAAAAGCCCTAATAATTTTTTGTTTTTGCAGAAAAGTCCTAATATTTTGAATCAATTTATGAAATAGTTCCAAATTAATTTGTTACCGGTTTCAACCAGTCAAAAAGGGTCAAAATCCAAACTTTTACCGGTTTTTAGGACTTTTTCGTAAACAAAAATTAGTTCAGAACTAAAACATAAACCGGACCAAAATTTTAGGACTTTATTGGAGATTTCCCTATATATATATATATATATATATATATATATATATATATATATATATATATATATATATATTTATTTATATATATATATATTATATATATATATATATATATATATATATATATATATATATATATATATATATATGGGCATACCCTTAAAGGTATATAAGCTTAGGTATCCAAACTTACCATACTACATCGTTTTGTATCATATATATTGTAATCATCTAAAGTTCTTAAAATTCAACTCTTAACTTGATTTACTTCCAATATTTTTATAAATTTCACCATTATCTTACTCTTACATAATTTTCATTTTCAACTATAATATATATATAGCATGGTAGGTGTTTAGTTGAAAGATGTGATGTAAGAGGAAGACAATAATGAAATTTTGAAAATCTTGAAAGTAAATCAAGTTAGGATTTAAAGTTTAAGAACATTATAATGCATATATGATAAAAAAAACGACGTATTATATCTTTAAGTGTATACTCACTTTCTTCTCTCTCTCTCTCTCTCTCTCTCTTTATATATATATATATATATATATATATATATATATATATATATATATATATATATATATATATATATATATATATATATATATATATAATGGTATAATGGTAATTTACATTATTAATTGGTTAATTCATCTTAAATTACATTCTATAATCATGGTAACTAGAGCCTAGATATATGGTAACTCAATCAATTCACAAGAGCATTAGAATCTCCATACCATCATCACCTTCACCGTGCACATCAAGAAGACGGACCTGTAAAAAGCGGCGACCACTATCCCCGGCTAACCATCATCGCCGCTTCTCCACCATCGATGTCTCATCTCCGATTTTAAGTTCAGATTTTATTGGGTCGGATTTCAGGTTCTGATTTCCAATACTTCATTGGCTTCATCTTCATCATTTCTTATCCAATTGAATATGCGTTCCCTGCACTTGAATCGTACTGACAAAATATTCCAACAATAAGAACCGCATGCCGACGATAAAATGTGGGTCAATCTTTCTGATATGAAGATGTTGAGTTCGTATGCTTTTCTATTTAAGAATGTGATTATATCTAATTCCATTTTTGAATTGTTTTTTATTTTATGTTCATCATTTCTAGGAGATGGTTACTAGGCATCGCATTGAAGAAGTCTTGAATGTAATTTGTGAGTATCTTTTAAATCACCTTAGTGAAATATGATCAATTGAGCAAGCCATTCATATATAAATAATTTTGTATTTGTTTAATGTTGTCTTTTGGGGGTTTTGGAAAAAGGTATTCTCAGAAAATTCGTTTTGGTCATCTTATCATGAACTATAGAGATTAATTAGCTTCATAACCATAAAAAATTTAGTCTCATTAGTAAATACATATGCGTTGAATCATACATACATGAAAAGTTCATAATAAAAATTCACATATAGTGTGTTGTTTATCATTCAAGAAATTTCTGTTTTTACAAATCTCTATTTTTAAAATTGGTTATGTATTTTGTGTTGTTTATTATTCAAGAAACCACTGCTGAACTTAGTAATATCAAATCATTCATTTTAATTCTGATCGTATTCCATTATTGCTTATAACTTTTGTTTTTTATAACGCCTTTGGTTGGGTTGATACGAAGAGAAAGAGAACAAGTGACAATCTTTAAAAAATGACAACATTCTTTCAAGTATGAAAAGTATTTTCTCAAAATGAAAGATATTTCTTTTAAAAAATGAAGCATGTTATTGCGTATTCTTTCAAGAATGAAATGTTTCTTTGATGAAGATTGTAATTCTTTTTCGGAACAGTGATACTTTAGTAGAGTTTTTATTAAATTTGATATAAATACTATGTTCCGCATATTCTTTACAGAATGAAGTATGCTATTTGATGAATAAAATGACGTGTATTATTTTAGGTATTGTTATAAATCGGTATATTTTATAATGTGTTTTGATTTAAAAAAATTCTATGTTCCAACATATTCTTTGAAAAATGACAACGTTTCTTTCCTTCTGATTTTAAAAATGAAATTTGTATTCTTTAATACAATTTCAAAATGAATTTAATACTTTAATTAATGTGTTTGTAAATTTCCTAAAATTTGGTTCAATCCTCATAAAAAAATCAAATAAAATTTCATAAAATTTAAAATTTTCTAAAATAAAATACATAAAATGTTCATAACACTCTTTCACACATTTTATTTAAATAAAATATTTAATAATTTTGTATTTTCATTCTGTCAAAACTCATTATGATTTTCATTGATCCAATTGTCAAGATCAAGTTACATGGTTATACAATATGTATTATATAAATTAGTTTAAATAAATAAATAAATAAATAAATAAAACACTATACTATGAAATATTAATCAGAATTTTAGGGTAAAATATTACCATAACCTAAAAGATTGAGGGCCAATTCACACACCTTCCAATATATATATATATATATATATATATATATATATATATATATATATATATATATATATATATATATATATATATATATATATATATATCCAACTAACAAATTAGTTAAAATAAATAAATAAATAAAATAAAATAAAAACACTCTACTAAGAAATATTAGACATAAATTTAAAATGAAATATTGTCATAACCTAAAAGATTGAGGGTCAGATCATACACCTTCCTATAAACATGTTAAAATCATAACTCTTTGTGTGTTGGTACGAAAAGAGTAAAATTATAATTTTTACAGTCTAATATTTTTATTCGTATATGCTCTCATATTTGAACACAAAACTTATATAAAATACAGATTTACACAGTACATTTACAGTTTAATGCAAAAAATTCACAACTTAATACATATTGTTTTACAATAATTCACTAATTTAAAGAATTCAGAAACTCAAACTCTACCATCACATGCTACCACTAACCATATGTATCAACATAGTAGCCGTCATTTCTTCCAAATTAGATCTGTAAATAAAGTCATTCATTAACAACTTAAATACTACATTCGTAGTCTAATAAAGCCTATTAATTCACTCGTTTTGAATTTAATACAAAACAATTATAAAAAGTATTGGATTCTTAAAAATTTGTACAACAAAAAAAAATATATTCATAAGAAAATTAACATAATAATTTATATATAAATCATTCATATTTTAACACTAATTATAAAAATTTCACCACAAAATGCAGTCAATTCACAGTTTAAACAGAAAATCTATAATTTAATACAGTCAATTCATATTTTTAAACACAAAAATCTAATATAAAAAATTCACAGTTTAATATAGTCAATTTCACAATTTAAATAAATATTTACAGCTTAATGCAGTTAATTCAAAGTTTAAAATACGAAAATCATAGCTTAATACGTAAAATTCACAGTTTATTACAATAAATTTACAGTTTAATACAAAAAATATAAATTCACATCAATAATATCAAATTGAAACTCTTAATACAAACAATTCACAGTTTAATATACAAAATTCACAACTTAATATAATAAAATCACAATTTAAGACAAAAAAAAATTATATTCACAATCATATTTTCACATTAAAACTTATATTTATACATTAATATATGAAGACATTTATATGTATTAAATTGTGAATTTAATATATTAAGTCGTGAATAAAAATCCCAACGTAATACACAATTCACAGTTTAGTATATAAAAATTCACAGTTTAATAGAGTTTTTCGAAACTCTCATTCACCGTTTAATAATCAGTTTAAGACTCTCATTCATAATATTTACAACATAAAAACGTATTGATTTACGTATTCACAGTATCTAACTTAAATAGAACTAAAAAATAGTTGAAACATTAAAACATCACAGTTCAAAAAAATTCGTATTATTTGAGAAAAACACTAACATAATAGTTTTAAAAATCAATTCACAACTTAACAACAATAAAACATACAGTGTGAATAAAATCTTGATGCAAACATTATAAAAAAAACATAATAAACATGGATTAACAACTTAATAGTAGAAAAAATTATGTTTAACAAAAGTAAACAACAAATGAGATATTAGAACATTAAATTCACAACTTAACAGAAAGAAAAAAAAAAAGTAAACAAATATCAACATACCTGATTTGTTTCACCAAATATCAAAGATAAATAGATAGAGGATATTTGACAGTGTTTAATAGAGCAGCAAAGCAACATAAGTGGTGGCGGTTGACATCGGTCTCAGATTTGGTCTCAATCTTACAGGAGCCCTGTTATATTTTTTCAGAACTTGTGGCAATTAGAGTTTCAGTTACGAACGTGCTTCAAAATGGAGAATAAAATCCAAATAAACAAAAAAGCTTCAAAGGTTTTAAACGTGGTGAGCATGAAGGAAATCAGATCTGAAGGTTTTAAACTAGATCCGAAGGAAATTAGATCTAGAATCACGAGCATTAACAACAAAATAAAAGAAAACGGTGGAGGCGAAGCAAATCTGGGGGAGTGGTGAAGATACGATGGTGATGACGCATCTGGAGGCGGTACATGTGGAGGTTTGACGATGATGTAGGAATCTCGAATAGAAGGCCATATAGTCAGGTATGAATGTTTCATCGGAGATCTGATGTAGATCTCGTCAGATCTAATGTAGATCTAGTCAAATTTGATGTAGATCTGGTGGTGATTTCTGATGTGGATCTAGTAGGATCTGATGTAGATATGGATATTCACCAAGGATCGGAGAAGGAGGTGGTGATTTATAGCAGTAACAGAAGTCGGCGAAGGAGATGGTGGTGGTGGTGGTGGTGCTGTCGACATAGGAGACGGTGGTGGTAAGTCGTTGGAGCAAAGTCGTCGGTGGTAAGGACGGCGAAAATGGTGGATGTTATCTGATGAAAGAATAAGCAAAAATGAAGATATGTTTAAAGTCAGGTAAAAGAATGGTCTAAGAATGGTCTGAAGTTTATGTTAGAAAGATAGAGTGATGTTTTTTAGAGGTTCTTAGGTTCTTAACATTTAGAGATTCTCATTTGAAATTATATATATATATATATATATATATATATATATATATATATATATATATATATATATATATATATATATATATAGGGGAGGGTTCATGCGAAAATGCAAATAATTTGCGAAAACAAGAAAACAAGAAAACCATATGATATTATGTCACCTCAACATTATATTTTGGAAAATAATTCATCCAAACTTTGAAATACATGATGATAATCGATGATAGATGATAGACTATTTCATATTAGCAAAGTATGATTTTTAACATTTTTATTATGAAAACATGAATTTAAAAATGATTAAGGACGTGAAAAAAATATAATTATAAAAACCGTCTTTAAATCTATATTATCATAACATCATCTAATGTAAACTTACTATCTTTAATTTATTGCTAATAAAATTATTTTTTTATAGTACATGTATCTAATTTTCATAAGATAAAAGCTGTTTTCGCGTTTTCGCAGGATATTTATATTTTCGCATGAACTTACTTCTATATATATATATATATATATATATATATATATATATATATATATATATATATATATATATATATATATATATATATATATATATATGTTAGATTTGATACCATTTCTTCATTATTGTCCCGAAACAAAATAAATATCCTCTCACCTCCTTCAACCATCTCTGATGAACACCATCACATCCACCACCGTTGACGGCCACCTCACCACTGGAACCGCCGCCGACGACACCTCCACATCGCAGCCTCCAACCACCGGCGATAACACTTAAATCCGTCATCGTAGTTTCAGATCTGGAACCACTGATGTCTCATCTTTGTCGTTGTTACGGTGAACCGCCACAATTGTCATTGTGTCCTCCTTCCATGACATGTCTGCTCCGACAAGCGACCACTTTTTCTTCAGATCTGCTGTGAAGAGCCACCAAAACTACCATATTTTCACTAAGATACGGTAGATCTCGAATGCATCAGATCTGGACCACGTCCTCCTATTCTCATCAACGAAATCAGATCTAAGATTTCCGCAAGATCTTTTCCCCTTCTTATCCTCCGGCAACTTTTTTCATCGTCGTCTCCTTTGTCAGCTATTAGCTATCAGAAACCGACATCCATGAGAGTTTTCCAGTAATGTTTTTGTTTAAACTATCACTAATCACAACATAATGTAAATCATGTCTGAGTATGAGATGTTTTTCTGTTAATATTTTCCGCCGATGTTTTTCGACTACTATTTAGGCATCCCAGTTAGTTCAATACGACTAGGTGTGCTTTTTGGTCACCAGTTCCGACATAGATATTTTTCGACAAGCATTTCATGTGGTTTTCAAGCGTTATCGTTAAAAACAAAAGGTTAGATTTATAAGAAGTGAGAAATCAAGGTTTTTTTTCTTCGGTAATGTTATAGAGATGTCAAAAAGTTAAAGGTGTATGTATGGGCTATATGTGTGTGCATTATGTGTGCAGGTGATTTGACTGAGAGTGGTAAAGGTTTTGCAATTCTCCATATTTAATTGCTTCTATTTACTCCGAACACACAAGCACAATAAAGAGGTATTTCTTTATTGTTTACATATATCTAGTCTGACATATCTAAAGAAATAGGAATAATTCATAAACAAACAAAATTTAATCTATACAACAAGTTGCGTAAATATATAAATATATGTAAACGAACTATTAAAGTAAGACTAATTATGCAGAATTTAATAATTGAAATATAATCTAGTCGTAAACTTCGCACAATATTTGATTAAATATCTTAATGATTTTTAAGTTGTTAAGTTGCATTAAATTGTGAATGATAATCTTGAACTAGTATTGTAAATTATATAAATGAAAGTATTGAACTATTTTATTAAACTATGAATGAAAGTCTTAAAATATAAGTTTTAAAGTGAGAATAAGACTATGAAAACATACATTTTGTATATTAAATTATGAATTTATTGTATTTAGATATGGATTTTGCGTATTAAACTGTGAATTGATTGTATTAAACTCTGAATTGATTCTATTAAATTGTACAATTTTTTATGAATTTTGTGTTTTTTTTTAATATGAGATGAAAGAAGCATTTATGCATAGATATGATTTTCTATAATTTTGAATAAAGTATATAAAGTTTAAATTGTGAATATTGTGTAAATTAAATTTTAAAAGAAGCACTAGCCTCTATATACGAAGGTATATGTGAATGTATATTTTTTGTGTATTAAACTATGAATTTGTTATATTGAGTTGTAAATTTTGGGTACTAAATAGTGAATTAACCGTATTATACTTGTAAATGAGTTATGGATATATTGTATTAAATTGTAAATTTTTATTTATTGAGCTATGAATTTCATTCACGACTTAATATATTAAATTCACAATTTAATACATAGACATGTTTCCATATATGAACGTATAAATGTAAGTTTTAATTTGAGAATATGGATGTGAATATATATAGTTTTTGTGTATTAATCTTTGAATTTTATGTATTAAACTTAAGATTGATTGTATTAAGAGTTTTAAGTTGATAATATGACTGTGAATTTTATACTTTTTGTTTATTAAGATGTGCATTTATTGTAATAAGTTGTGAATTTTATTTATTAAGCTATGATTTTTGAGTTTTAAACTGTGAATTAACTACATTAAGTTGTGAATTTTTTGTTTAAACTGTGAATTGACTATATTAAGCTCCTAACTTTGTATATTAAACTGTGATTTTTGTGTATAAGACTTTAAATTGACTACGTTAAACTATGAATTTTTTGTTTAAACTGTGAATTAGTTGTATTGAGTTGTGAATTTTAATGAATTTTGTGTTAAAATATGAATGATTTATGTATGAATGTTTGTATTAATTTTCTTGTGAATGTATTTATTTTTTGTATTGTATAAATATGTAAGAGTATTAGTTTTTATAATTATTTTGCATTAAAATCATAATAAGTGAATTAGTTGGTTTATTAAATTGTGAATATAGTAATTTATCTGGCAGTTAATGATTTTTATTTGCAGATCTAATTTGGAACGAAAGATGATTACAACAGTGACACGTGTGGCTAGTGGTGGTATGTGGTAGTTGGAGGTAGTGGTAATAGAATTTGGATTTGACTTTTTTAAATATGTGAATTAGTGTATAATGTATTGTGTTATGTTGTGAATTTTATGTATTAAACTAAAAGTGGATTGTATTAAGTTGTATATTTTATATAAATTTTATGCTCAAATATGAATGAAGGTATGCATGCAAATATTAAATTATGTATTAGTGAATTAGTATATTTATTAAACTTTGAATAATGTATTTTAAAGTGTGAATACCATTATACATAATATATATTTTATAAAGATATCTACAATTTAGAAAAAAAAAATGAATTTATCAAAGCATAATTCTATTTTTCTAGCTAAAATATACAATATATATATATATATATATATATATATATATATATATATATATATATATATATATATATATATATATATATATATATATATTATAAGGAAATTGAAAAGTCATGGGAGTTTCAAATGAATGTGGTGAAAGGAAAAAAGAATAAGGGTTTCAAATGCATGAGATTCAAGAAAAAAATGTTAGCTTTATAAGTATGTATGATATATATATATATATATATATATATATATATATATATATATATATATATATATATATATATATCATACATACTTATAAAGCTAGCATTTTTTCTTGAATCTCATGCATTTGAAACCCCTATTCTTTTTTCCTTTCACCATACTCATTTGAAACTCCCATGACTTGTCAATTTCCTTATAATAATAATTATAATTTGGTAGTTAGGTTAAATAAATATCAAATCTAAAGTGTATTCATATATAAACTAAATTTCAATATTAAAATAATATCTTTAATTCTACTTATAAAATTATGTTTTTTAACTTTTAACATATTATACTTAATTTATTAGTTTTAATATATTGTTGGATGTAAACCATTATCATTTTAAATGTATAACTTTTGAATAATTTGTATAAAATACTTAAATTATTAATTAAAATATAACATTATAGGCTCAATTTAAATATAAATTTTATTTAACTTAAACAACCCAAAGATTATTTTACAAATAGTTAAAAGTGATAAATTTTAGTGTCTTTCTAATAATGATTGTAAGTTGGTTAATAAGGTTAAATAAATATCAAACCTAAATTGTAATCATAAATAGACTAAATTTCAATTTTAAAACAATATCTTTACTTCTATTTATAAAGTTATGTCTTTAAATTTTAACACATTATACTTAATTTATTAGATTTACAATGTTGTTGCATGTAAACCATTATCAGTTTAAAGCTACAATTTTTGAACAGATTTGACAAAATACTTAAATTGTTAATTTAAATATAACATTACAGTGTCAACTTAAATATAAATTTCAGTTCCACTAAAAAACCAAATAATATTTTATAAATAGTTAAAAGTGATAAATTATAGTGATAAATGCAAAAACTAAATTGTAATATCAGTTTAACTAAAATATTTCCTAAATATATTTATATAATCGTTAAAAATTTTCAAATAAGTAGCTTAAAATAACTTATAATAACAATAGTTAAAAGTAACTCTATATAAATGATTATATTGTTACCTTTAAAATAAAAAAATAGTGTTTGATGTTTTAAATAATTATAATGATAGAAATTATAACATTAAGCAAATAAAAGTTCAAAAATTAGTTAAAAATAACAGCTATAAATAATATTAACACATATATAATATTTAATTTTATTGATGTGTAACTCGCGAGTATAAGTCATTGAAATGATCAAGATTATGACGTTATAATAGATTTATATATTATTATAAAATTTAAAATAATCAATATATTATATCAAATTAATATACGAATTATTATATCAAATGTAACAACAATGTTAGTGTTATATTTTAAAAAATATATATTTGTAAAGACTTCAACTATATAGGTGTTTCTGTGCACTACAATATCAACTAAAATATGAATTTCAATTCCATTTAAAAAAACTAAAGAATATTTTGTAAATAGTTAAAAGTGATAAATTATAGTGATAAAAGTAAAAACTAAATTGTAATTTCAATTTAACTAAAATATTTCTTAAATATATTTTTATAATCGTTAAAAGTTTTCAAATAAGTAGCTTAAAATAACTTACAATAACAATAGTTAAAAACAACTCTATATAAATTATTATATTTTTAGCTTTAAAATAAAAAAAAAAAAAAAACAATGTTTGATGTTTTAAATAATTATAATGATAGAAATTAAAACATTAAACAAATAAATTTTAAAAAATTAATTAACAATAGAAACAATTATATATAACATCAAATCATATATTATATTAGATTCCATTCATTTGTAACTCGCGGGTAGAAGTCATTCAAACGATTGTGATTATGAAGTTATAATAAATGTATATATTATCATATAATTCAAAATAATCAATATATTATATCAATTTAGTATATACAAATTATTATATCAAATTTAACAACGTTATTGTTATATTTAAAAAATCATATATTTGCAAAGACTTCAACTATGTAGGTGTTATTGTGCATATATATATATATATATATATATATATATATATATATATATATATATATATATATATATATATATATATATATATATATATATATATATAACTCCCTACATTATATACATATATCAAGTTTAGGTGGTTTGGGCTTGCATTCGGATTCTGAGATGAAATGTTGTAAATATAGGATCATATTGATTTATATTGTAACGCC